CCGCCACGAATTATTCTTAGTTTCCAAAAGGCCAAAAAGATCAAGAGAATGCCTAGCCTTAAGGCGTTTAAGTTGCTGAATAGTCAAATGAGATCCCAAGCCTTAACAATTCCAAACTAAAATATTTCGAGTCCCATTAGAGGATCCTGCTGAAATGTCAAACCCAAATAAAGGAGGTCTAGCTGTAGATGAAGAAGGCAAACACTCACAGTGGGAGGAACGGGAATGGGTAAAGAAAGAAGGTACTTGAATTGACATAGCAGAGGCAGCAGAGAGCGATATGGAAGAACAGCCCCCAATGGGCTCCAAATGCCTAGTACCCAAACCAAATTGCGAACCAGGCCTAACAATGGCCAAGAACTGGGAGATCCCAAACAAACCCAAAACAAAACAGGAGAAGCAAATCCAAGCCCACTAAGCCCAACCGAATTACAACTCGGCCCAACAAAATAGGGCACCAAAATCCATGGAAAACCATAACCAGAGAAAATATCGTCACCGTACGGCACCGCCGGCACAAAAACGCAACAACAAACGCACCTACAAACTGCCAGGCCTCCACAGAGCAAGATTGATCAAACTAAACACGAAACCGTACTCACAAGCACCCCAAAGCCAATCGTCCTTCCAGACCAACGAACCAGATAGACTCCTTCCCGATAAACCCAAAAACTGCGCAGATCCTCACCACAGATCCAACACAAAATTGGAAGAAACCCAACGAAACAAAGAAACACAGCACCTCAGCAAAGACAGCACCAAAATATCAACTCGATTCTCACAACCGGTGACGAAAAAGCAAGAAACAAAGCACCACATGTAGAAAATAGGCAAAAACTAGAGAGACAGTACAAGACGGCACACTCCCCACCCCTGACTTCAGGGAACCCCTACAACGCAAGGAACAAAAATCCGGCCACAGGTTTAGAGAGGTTAGTAATTTCAAAATGTGAACCTACCAAAATTGGTTTTAATTTTATTTATTTATTTTACCTTTTTTTAATTATTTTTTATTTTTAAGTTATTTTTTTCCGAAGTTTTTAAAATTTTTAATAATTTTAAATTTATTTTTTAAAAAAAAAATTTCTAGAGAGAGAAACTTAGAGAGACGAGATTGACAAGAGACAAATTTAGAGAGGATTGTGAGTGAGAGAGAATTTTAGAGAGAGAAATGAGTTGAGTATAATATAGAATAGATGTGTGTTGTGTATTTATTATGTGATAGGTGAAATATGGGGTGAATATGGTTAACCATATTCAGCCCATTTTGACCTTCAAATTAAATGGTTAAAAATTACCCAACCCATCTGACCCTCAATTTAAATATGGTTCACTCATAATCATTAAAAAGCGGGCGGATATAGGCGGGTTGATGGTCCTTGACCCATTTTGCCACCCCTATAGCTGACACACTATTAGTCCGTATCTCACTAAATATGAGACTCACACCACAATATTTGTAATATTTTTTAAAGTATGAGACTCACACCACAATAATAATAGTGAGTTTCAGACTCTGTGAGACAATCTAAGAGTCTTAGTATCGTTAATTTTATTATTTTTTCGTCCTAATTTCATATTATCCTTAAAGAAGGGAAAAAACAAAAAAGTGTTAATTTTTAGCATATATGATACTTTAATATATACACGTATAAACTTATGCGTGTTTGTTTATACATATATTCTCTTCTAACAATTCATAGTATAGCGTTTTTCTAAAACAATCAAAATTATTAAGTAATAGTTATTAATTATCCAATATGACATCAAGGTTATTTCTTAAAATTATTTATTTCTAAAAAGCTTGGGACTTATTAAATATTAATTATTGTCTAATTATTTGCATGCGGCTTAACTCTTACTATGATTAATCCTTCTATCTTATATAAGATTGCAAATGAATCGAACCGAACCGAACTTGAATCTGTTTAGGTTTGATTTGTCCATTTATGGGGTTGGCTTGGAATTATGATGACCTCGAAAAGCTAAAGCTCGATTTGTCATTATTTGAAAAGTTCAAATTTAGCTCGTTTAATAACAAAAGTATTCAAGTACGATTTAAATTTGTGTTCAAGATTAATTAGTTTCTTCGTGTACTTATATGAGCCTATACAAGTGTGTATATTCACAAACACATACAAGTTAGCTGTTTTTTTTTTTTTTTTTTTGTTTTTTTGTTTTTTGAAGATAGTGGTGTTGGGTTTCTTAGAACATCCCATAATCCATAGTGAATATAAACCTATACACATTTATATTTATAAACTCATTACGAGTGTATATTCATGAACATATATGAGTTTACACGAGCTCATGTTCACGAGCCTACATGAGCCAAACCCTATATTATTTAGAATTGACTCGTTTACTAAACGAATCTAAAAACCGAGTTTGAGTTCAATTGCTTAACAAACAAGCCCAAACTGAATCCACCTCATCATAAAACCCTAATTTTAATTAGAGAAATACAATGTGGAGGGTTAAAGTTCCGGTAAGACCTGATTACCCATCAGCTTTGGCGAGAACAACTGGGTAGCAACGACATCATAGTCCGGTGAACATAGAGCTTCAAAGTTTCCTTCTTGCATGAACCACGACAATGATTGAAGCCTTGAGAATCAACAAGAAAGCTACGCAAACCAAAAAGCTTTAAGCAACCACCAAAGGGTATTTTTGTAATTTTAAAAAATATTTTTTAGTTTTTAATTTAACATTAAATAGTAAGTTCAAATTTATCATTTCATAATGGATACGGATATTGAGACAATGTGATCGTTTTTTAAAGTGTAGAAGGTTTTTAAATTAGGTTGACATTTTAGATTGTCAATAAATAAAAAATAATACTTCAGCCCCATCAAGACAAATTGTATCCTGCATACTAACATGTCCCAATAAGAGGTTGACACCTCTTTTAAACTTTAAAAAATACAAAACATATGTTATACCCATTTTTTAGGTTTAAACCTGACATCTATTTTTTTACTCTCTTTTCTCTTATCTGTGTATCTCACTCACATATTCATCTGCATTTTTCTTTTTCCTTAGCTCTAGTGGCAAACCATTAATTCTGTCAATAGCATGCATAAAAAATAGTTCCAGGCAGTTTTTTTAGAAAGGGAGATATATAAATGGTTGATTCAATTTTTTTTAGGATAGTTTTCTATTTAAAAAAAAATAAAAATAAGAGAAAAAGGTAGGAAAGATAATTTTCCATGAGTTGTTCTCTAGAAACAGAATTAAAAGAAGATACTTTATATTTTTTTAAATGTGATTTTAAAAAACTGCCTAGAACTATTTCAAAATTAAAAGAATTTTTATTATTCTAAAAAGTGGAGGCCTCGTAGGAGGACTTAGATCCTGTAAGTTAAATATTCTCTAAGTTATCCTAAGCTGAATTCGCTACATATTGACTCATGACGTTTAAAATCTATCTACTGCTTGTGTTAAACCAAATTAACTAATTTAAAGAAAATTTGAAAAGTATTGAGATAAGAAAATTTTACCAAAGTTTAAAAACAACACCCTTTTGAATTAAGAAAAATTCACAATACTCTAACTACGTTTAACGTCATTATATTTCCTTCATCTTTTCCAAAAAAAAAGATTCTCCCTCTCTCTCCTCTTTAATCCTATCTTAAACAAGTCACGATGATATTTGTTTCTCTTTTAACCCGATAGACGTTCTCTCTCATCTTTTCTATATATAGGGTTTTTGGTTGTATTTTACTAACTCCAATATCAATATTCATGCGCGCGCGCGCACACACACATATATATATTCTTTTCCAACTATTACTATTGCCAATAAAAGTTGCATGCTTTGCAATCACATTTTCGTTCATCCTCCAATCATGGGAATGAGCAAGAAGAGAGAGAGGAAAGATCTTTTTTTTGAAAAAGATGAGGGAGAGATAACACGTTAAACGTCGTTAAAGTATGGTGAATTTTCCTTAATTCAAAAGGGTGCAGTTTTTAAACTTTGGTAAATTTTTCTTTATCTCAAAATGTGTAAGTTTTAAATTTTGGTAATTTTTTCTTATCTCAAAATGGTGCAATTTTTAAACTTTCTTTAAATTAGTTTACGTGGTTTAATACCAATAGTAGATAGATTTTAAATCTCACGTCTCAATTAGAATTGGGTGAGATACATAGATGGGAGCAAAGAGAGGGAAAAAAAAAAATAGATTAAAAAAAATAGATTTATCGAGTTTAAATCTAAAAAATCCGTATAACCCATGGTTTGTATTTTTTTAAGTTTAAAAGAGGTATCAACCTCTTATTGGAACACATTAATGTGTAAGGCACAATCATTTTTTTTTTTTTTTTTTTTTTTGGAAATCCGGAACTCCACGGGCCCTGAGTGACCCACCCTAGGCTACAAACTGAGGGTACAGGCACAATCTGTCTTGATAAGGCAAGACTAAAGCATTATCCATAAATAAATAAAAAAAGAGGCATAACAAATTGTGACACCAATAAAGATCTAAGTATTGAGTATTGTCCAACAAATAAATACTATGAAAAACATTTCCTTAACTCTTAGAACAAACATTCTTTTCTCTAACTTCATTTGTAATACAAATTCTTAAAATTCAGAAAAAAAAAAAAAAAAAAAAAATGTGCTTTGTGGAGTTTCACGTAGAGTTTTAAATCAGTTCTTTTCATTTTTTATATTATTTTATCTATCAAAAGGGAATACAAAAATTCTCGTTAAATTCAAACTCTACCTGAAATATTTTGTTTGTAAGATAAATTTATCTATGTTGCAAGTTAGATTTTATCCGAACTAGATCTTACAAACAGAATTGGTATTGGACCCGATAATTGGATCTGATCACATTCAGTCCATGCCATAGGTCCTGAAGAATGGGCCCAAACCAAATATGGATCGTGGATTGGACCACCCAAGAAGTAAACCCTATTCTGAAGGTCTCTTAAAATTCAATCGAGTGACTTCCACAGTTTTCCAGGGTTTTGTAAACCCCTGTGCCCAAACAGTCACCTAACACACACACACACACACACACACACACACAGTTTTATTGGCGAACAAGAACAAGAAGTAGAACTAGTAGAAGAAGAGGAGAAATCCCCAAATCACAGACTCAAAATCCAATTAACCAAGCAAGAATCGGAAATCATGAACATAGCCAAGCAGAGCTCCATCAAAACCCTAAGATCTCTTCAACACTTAAGCCAATTGGCACCCACTCGCAGATGGATTTGCAATTCCTCTCCCTCCTTGATTCTCAAACAGTCCTTACTCCTCTCCAACCATTTATCTCCTCCTTCTCGATCCTCTCCTCTCCCATCTCTACTCCTCTTCGCCGTCCGCCATCTGTGCACCAATCGCGATCCCATTTCCAGGTAACATCACACACACACATATGCATACTTATATGCGTTCATCTATCTATCTATCTATCTATCTATCTATCTATATATGTATATTGATTGTGTTTCTGCTATATTGATTTATTTAGTGACTAATGCGTGTGCCTTGTGTTAATTGGTGCGAGATTCCTCCTATCAATGTGGGAGACAATTCATATATACGGGTATATACTTTGTATATATGTGTTGTTTATGCATATATTAGGTTTCTGCTATTTTGAATTGCTTAGTAGTTTTTACTCGAGCTTGAATTTGTGGTTTCTGCTTTGTTGAATTGCTTAATAATATATGTAGACACACACACACACATGTATATAGATTATGTTTCTGCTATATTGATTTATATCAATTTGAGAAAAATATACTTGTATGCGAATGTATATTTGTATGTAGGTGTGGTTTATGCATATATATTAGGTTTCTTTTATGTTGGATTGCTTAGTAGTTCAAGGTAACAACAATACATACATACATATATATATATATATATATATGCAGACGTATATGCGTTCACATATATATACACACACACACACATAGATTATGTTTTTGCTATATTGATTTGTTTAGTAGCTAATGCTTGTGCCTTTTGTGAATTGGTATGAGATTCCTTCTCATAAGTCTTGTCAATTTGAGTAACAATACATATGTCTGCGAATATGTCTGTTTGCATATATGCTTTGTTTATGTATATATTAGGTTCCTGTTGTGTTGAATTGTTTAGTAGTTTTTACTTAAGTTTAGATTTGTGGTTGTGAGAATAGGTATGAGATTGCACCTCCAATCAATTGGGGCATACGAATAGTACCTGAAGAGAAGGCTTATATTGTGGAACGGTTTGGAAGGTATGTGAAGACTCTGACTCCTGGTATTCACTTGTTGGTTCCATTGGTGGATCGGATTGCGTATGTGCATTCTTTGAAAGAAGAGGCGATTCCGATTCCGGAACAGCTTGTTATCACGAAGGATAATGTTCAAATCTTGATTGAAGGAGTGCTTTATGTTAAGGTATGTTTCGTGTTTTTGTTTGATTTTTTGGATTTTCTGCTGGATTGGTGGATTGAAAGTTACTGATTGCAGATTGTGAACCCTCGGTTGGCATCCTATGGTGTTGAGAATCCATTGTATGCAGTTGTTCAGCTTGCACAGATCACTATGCGTAGTGAGCTTGGAAAGATTACACTTGACAGGGCATTTGAGGAAAGGAGCACTCTGAATGCGAAGATAGTGGTGAGGTTTCAGTAGATTTGATGAATTTCATAGTTGTCTGCCTTCTTTTGGGTAGTGGATTGTTTGAGCTCTGATTATGTTAGCATCGAGCATCAATTACTGCACCAATTACTGCACGAGTTCTCTGTTGTAGTCCCAATATCAACATTTGACATTGGGAGGTTGTTGATTATTTTAAGTACTCCATTGATTCAGTTTTTTAACTCATAGTATGGCATCTTTTTTACATAGTGGACATATCATAAACCAAGCTATGGATAATGTTCTTTTATAATTTACAAGAAAAAATTATATTATTGAAACCATTGGATAATGCTCTTTTAAATTGTGAAAAGTACTTTTACTTATCAAAATAAATAAATAAATTGTGAAAGGTACTTTGAATTTTGAAGAAAGTAATTGAAATAAACTAAGACATTACCACAAATGTTCACCTACCGCATACCATATCTCAATAGATTCACATAATTTTTCTACTTTGTACAAACATCAAGAAGTGAACCATGGACTTCAATGGTTTATGGGAATTGTATGGTACTTGGGAAGGTAATTTCTGCAATTGTATGTGAGACTCGTGGACATAATCATTCAGTGCACTGTGCACTTTATCTAGCGCAGGTAATGTGTGGTGCAGCTTTGTGAGAAGGAAGTGAATTTAATTTATAATAGATGCTTATTACAAGTTGCCACACTTATCATTGTTTATGAATATACAGAGTTGAAACTATGTTGAAAGAGTTTGCATGGTGTATTTATTTGGTGTATACTGAGTTTGAATAAAAAGGGAATGAACTGAGCTGAGAGTGTGTTGAAAAAGTCTCCATGGTGATGATCTTAGTTAATGAGAGTATATTAGGGTAAAATGGTTAGTTTGAATTAAAAAAGTTTAAAAATAGTAAGTCTAAAACTTATTATATGGAGCATAAATTTAAAAATTAATATTAAGTATTTTAAAATAGTTAGTTTGATGCCAAGGGATACCAAAAATTGAACGAATTTGGTCAATCATTCTGAAGGAGGAAGAAGCTGAGGCAACGTTTTTATGATACAAAACACACACACACACGCACATATATTCCGAATCTTCGAGTCTTATACGCCTTGCTTGCTCTTTATGCTGCAATCGGAATCATGTTTCTGTTCTAATGTTGTAGAACTTGATTAGCACCTTATTTAGTAGGTCATATCTACTCTGTATGGCAAGTATGTTGCAATTCAAGTTCATTATGGTTATATTTTTATCTTTTTTTTTTAATTATATGCTTACAGTTAGTTAATTTTAAACTGGTCTTGTTATCTCAGGTGGCCATCAATGAGACCGCAAAAGATTGGGGTCTGAAGTGCCTTCGTTATGATATAAGTAAGTGAACTTTTTGTCTAACTTTCTTCTTTTCTTTTTCTTCATTAATATTTTTCCTACAGTGCTTTCATATACATTTCATTATCTTGTATTCTTTAGGCGAAATGATTCTTGATTCTGAAGTTAGGACAGCTATGGAGATGCAGGCAGAAGCTGAACACAAAAAGAGAGCTCTAGTTCTTGAATCAGAAGGTACTGTAGCCTTTTTTCCCACCCCCCTTTATTTATTTTAAAATTTCAGTTCTCTCTGTGGTTGAATAATGGACTAATCTATGGATTGGAATCAGGGTTGTACTCTGATTCAGACAGTTATACCCCATAGGCTGATTTCTTATTTAATAGAGATGCGTATAATTTTTCATCACATGGCTTTGTAAATTCTTTCTTTGACAACTGAGACTTATATTCGTAATAAAAAAAGAAGAAGTAATTGATAGGTCTGATGTACATTTAGCATTTGCATTATGCAGGAACCCAACTAGGTCAAGCAAAAGAAAGTCTACACACATATCCAAAAAACCCATCCCTCTTGACACGATCAACCTGGATACGCGTTTAAGAAAGAATCTCTAAAATCCATAGCAACCAAGAAGATTCTTCTATTTACTTTCCAAATGCAACACAACATGCATTAAGTTGATTATCTAACAAAATTAAAATTATAAGGTCCTGGCAATGCCAACTCCCATAACAGTACACCAACTACGAAGGCAGGATCTAGAAATGCCTCATAAGTGGAAAGAAAGAGTTACCAAATCTCTGCATCTAGTAATTGGATGTGCAAATGTTTCACTGATTTCACCTTATTTCTTTGCATCTAACACCCGTTAGGAATCATCCAACCTCCATTAATCAAGTGACCTGATATCAAAATCTTATGTCATTGTCCAAGCCAAGAGGTTACATTTAAAAGTGCAGTTGACCTATTAATCCTCCTGATGTGAACATTTTTATTAGTCAAGCAGCCTTAGCATATTCAACAAATATTTTGCCCCCAAATGGGACCATTGTACTTCATCTCCAAGCTAATTAATTTTAGCCATTTCCCACCGCCTTAAAAGTACAGAGTTTGTCAAGAAAAGATTCCACCTCATTCAACCACATAATTTTGGCTTCTAACGAAGGGAAGTTAACAAACCTATTGTGATGTGGCCCAAATTTTGTTTCGGCCTGGGCCGTGTTGTGACCCGGTTTTGAATCGTTTTTCCACTTGAGGGCCTTGGACCCTGTTTAGGACTCTCATGTAGCCTAGTATATAAGGGCGTTTAGGGTTTGTAGTGGGATATGAGAGAACACTGAAAATTGCAGGAAGAGATTGAGAGAGAGAGAGCTAGGGTTTGGTGGTTGCAACTTTAGACTCCTGATTTTTGCTTAGTGAAATCTTTCGCCAGATCTTCATTGTGGATGTAGGCTTTACGCCGAACCATATAAATCTTTGTGTCCTTTGTGTGTGGCGTGTTTACTTTTCAGCTTGATTCTTGATTTGTTTTTTGGTTTACGGCATTTGTCGTAACACCTATTATACCAATGAATGTTGTTTCCAGAGTCTTTTTTCCTCTTATATTCTTGATTACTGGTGAATTATATTTAACAGGAGAACGACAGGCACAAATTAATATTGCTGATGGGAAAAAGTATTCATTGATCCTTGCATCAGAAGGTTAGTTTTCATGATTTTATAATTAACCGTGCGGAAGGATAGTTTTCATGATTTCATCAATTTAGTTATAGCTTCCTCATTTCATCAATTTAGTTATATCAAAATCTTATGTCATCGTCCAAGCCAAGAGGTTACATTTAAAAGTGCAGTTGACCTATTAATCCTCCTGATGTGAACATTTTTATTAGTCAAGCAGCCTTAGCATATTCAACAAAGATTTTGCCCCCAAATGGGACCATTGTACATTATCTCCAAGCTAATTAATTTTAGCCATTTCCCACCGCCTTAAAAGTACAGAGTTTGTCAAGAAAAGATTCCACCTCATTCAACCACATAATTTTGGCTTCTAACGAAGGGAAGTTAACAAACCTATTGTGATGTGGCCCGAATCTTGTTTCGGCTTAGGCCGTGTTGTGACCCGGTTTTGAATCGTTTTTCCACTTGAGGGCCTTGGACCCTGTTTAGGACTCTCATGTAGCCTAGTATATAAGGGCGTTTAGGGTTTGTAGTGGGATATGAGAGAACACTGAAAATTGCAGGAAGAGATTGAGAGAGAGAGAGCTAGGGTTTGGTTGTTGCAACTTTAGACTCCTGATTTTTGCTCAGTGAAATCTTTCGCCGACTCTTCATTGTGGATGTAGGCTTTACGCCGAACCATATAAATCTTTGTGTCCTTTGTGTGTGGCGTGTTTACTTTTCAGCTTGATTCTTGATTTGTTTTTTGGTTTACGGCATTTGTCGTAACACCTATTATACCAATGAATGTTGTTTCCAGAGTCTTTTTTCCTCTTATATTCTTGATTACTGGTGAATTATATTTAACAGGAGAACGACAGGCACAAATTAATATTGCTGATGGGAAAAAGTATTCATTGATCCTTGCATCAGAAGGTTAGTTTTCATGATTTTATAATTAACCGTGCGGAAGGATAGTTTTCATGATTTCATCAATTTAGTTATAGCTTCCGCATTTCATCAATTTAGTTATATCAAAATCTTATGTCATCGTCCAAGCCAAGAGGTTACATTTAAAAGTGCAGTTGACCTATTAATCCTCCTGATGTGAACATTTTTATTAGTCAAGCAGCCTTAGCATATTCAACAAAGATTTTGCCCCCAAATGGGACCATTGTACATTATCTCCAAGCTAATTAATTTTAGCCATTTCCCACCGCCTTAAAAGTATAGAGTTTGTCAAGAAAAGATTCCACCTCATTCAACCAAATAATTTTGGCTTCTAACAAAGGGAAGTTAACAAACCTATTGTGATGTGGCCCGAATTTTGTTTCGGCCTGGGCCGTGTTGTGACCCGGTTTTGAATCGTTTTTCCACTTGAGGGCCTTGGACCCTGTTTAGGACTCTCTCATGTAGCCTAGTATATAAGGGCGTTTAGGGTTTGTAGTGGGATATGAGAGAACACTGAAAATTGCAGGAAGAGATTGAGAGAGAGAGAGCTAGGGTTTGGTGGTTGCAACTTTAGACTCCTGATTTTTGCTTAGTGAAATCTTTCGCCAGATCTTCATTGTGGATGTAGGCTTTACGCCGAACCATATAAATCTTTGTGTCCTTTGTGTGGCGTGTTTACTTTTCAGCTTGATTCTTGATTTGTTTTTTGGTTTACGGCATTTGTCGTAACACCTATTATACCAATGAATGTTGTTTCCAGAGTCTTTTTTCCTCTTATATTCTTGATTACTGGTGAATTATATTTAACAGGAGAACGACAGGCACAAATTAATATTGCTGATTGGAAAAAGTATTCATTGAACCTTGCATCAGAAGGTTAGTTTTCATGATTTTATAATTAACCGTGCGGAAGGATAGTTTTCATGATTTCATCAATTTAGTTATATCAAAATCTTATGTCATCGTCCAAGCCAAGAGGTTACATTTAAAAGTGCAGTTGACCTATTAATCCTCCTGATATGAACATTTTTATTAGTCAAGCAGCCTTAGCATAGTCAACAAAGATTTTGCCCCCAAATGGGACCATTGTACTTTATCTCCAAGCTAATTAATTTTAGCCATTTCCCACCGCCTTAAAAGTACATAGTTTGTCAAGAAACGATTCGACCTCATTCAACCACATAATTTTGGCTTCTAACGAAGGGAAGTTAACAAACCTATTGTGATGTGGCCCGAATTTTGTTTCGGCCTGGGCCGTGTTGTGACCCGGTTTTGAATCGTTTTTCCACTTTAGGGCCTTGGACCCTGTTTAGGACTCTCATGTAGCCTAGTATATAAGGGCGTTTAGGGTTTGTAGTGGGATATGAGAGAACACTGAAAATTGCAGGAAGAGATTGAGAGAGAGAGAGAGATAGGGTTTGGTGTTTGTAACTTTAGACTCCTGATTTTTGCTTAGTGAAATCTTTCACTGGATCTTCATTGTGGATGTAGGCTTTACGCCGAACCATATAAATCTTTGTGTCCTTTGTGTGTGGCGTGTTTACTTTTCAGCTTGATTCTTGATTTGTTTTTTGGTTTACGGCATTTGTCGTAACACCTATTATACCAATGAATGTTGTTTCCAGAGTCTTTTTTCCTCTTATATTCTTGATTACTGGTGAATTATATTTAACAGGAGAACGACAGGCACAAATTAATATTGCTGATGGGAACAAGTATTCATTGATCCTTGCATCAGAAGGTTAGTTTTCATGATTTTATAATTAACCGTGTGGAAGGATAGTTTTCATGATTTCATCAATTTAGTTATAGCTTCCTCATTTAATTTTTAATTTAACCACCATAGAGCAGCAGTGATTGGCTAGCTATATCTATATGTAGTGTTGGACATAATTAACTGTTGATTATTCAGTAGACATTTCTAAGAATAGTGGCGAACTTTATGTAGATGTCAATTTGTGGAGCGCTTTATGTTCAATGATGCTCTAGTCCTATATATTCTTGACCCTGCAACTGTTCTCTACTAGCCTATCCTGCAATCTTTCTGTATTAGCTTATCCATATTATTTGGATAATTCAAAGGATTATGTTGATGCTGATGCGTCTGCAGTATTGTTGCTCCACCTCTTTTATATCCTACACTCATTGACAATTTTTTCAATTCTTCTGTGAAATCAGTAGAAGCATCAGCTATCTTTGCCAGGGCACAAGCAACAGCACAAGCAACAGTGAAGGTGTCAGAGGCCCTTAAAGAGCATGGTGGAGTAGAGGTAATGATCTTCATTACTCTTGATTGCATGTATGGTGTGTTGGGATTTCATACCTTGCATAAGTCTTTCATATTTTACTAGCTTGCAGAAATTCCTCACCTTTAACTGTAGAACTTTTCCATGTGATTGGGCTACAAGTTGACTACAGCATTTTAAATTGATGTTTTTAGTTTTTTGGAAATTTAGTTGTTGTACACGGTAACCTGGCTTTGCAGCCTGTAATACATCTAAATTTGTCCGTTAGTATATATAGTGATTGTTATGATATATGCATATGCGATTGATTAGGTGCATTTACCAACACACCGCAATTGCCCATGACAACTGTTATGTGGGGTTTTTACTTTCTGGAGTGAATTGCTGTAAGTCTTGGTCTCTCTCTCTTTCTCTCGGCAAGTGCATGATGTTTCAGGGAGGATTCTCAGTATATTACTTGGCTGGCTGGTAGTTCGTTTTATATCACTTATATTCCGAATGACTAAACTATGAAAATGGTAATTTCTGTTGCAATAATAAAAACAGTCGATACCCAGAATAAAATAAAACTCAAGTTGGTGAACACATTGATACAAGTCGACTATATTGGGTTGATGGTTTTTTGGAAATTTAGTTGATGTACATGGTAACCTTACAAGTCGACTATATTGGGTTGATGGTTTTTTGGAAATTTAGTTGATGTACATGGTAACCTTACTTTGCAGCTTGTGATACATCTAAATTGATCTGACAATATATATAGTGGTGGTTATGATATTTGTATTTGTGATTAGTTGCATTTACTGACACACCACAATTGCCCATGACAACTGTTATGTGGGGTTTTTAGTTTTTACTTTCGAGATTGAACTGCAGTAACTCTTGGCCATTCTCTCTCTCTTTTGGCAAGTGCGTGGTGTTTGAGGGAGTATATCACTTAGCTGGCTGGCAATTTGTTTTATATTACTATTATTCTGGATGACTAAACTATGAATAGGGTTATTTCTATTGCAATAATAAAATCAGTTGATACCCAGAATAAGATAAAACACAAATCGGTGAACACATTGATACAGTTTTGCAATAGGTTGTGAGCATTCTAAATTCTAGTTTGTTGGCAATAGATGCTCTCACTGCCATCAGCAATTTTCAGGAGGTGTTCCATTCAGTGTTTTTTCCTTATGGAAGTTTCCTACCCTCCTTTCTCAAGAACTTATCCATCAAAATCCACAGGACAGCATTCTAGTGAAACAGAAGGTACTTGTGGCAGGAGTTTTGAATAGCTTTACAGCCAGCCTAAGAATTCTCTCTCTCTCTCTCTCTCTCTCTCTCTATTGGAAGAGTGATTTGGATTATTTTTCCCCCCTTCTGGCTCTCATCCAAGTGCATTCTTAAAAATACTCTGTATTTTATTTGGTTGATTTAAGTCAAATTTTTCTTACACTATCACACATTTTGTTATTTACTTTTGTTCTTGTTACACGACGTCTATTGGGACAAAATGGTTATTGCAAGTTTCTGGTAGTTTCGATAACAATGTTACACATTGGAGTTGCATCTTTCTGCATGCTGTCCCTTTACATCTACAAAATGTAGTTATGCCAATCAGTCTGTGTCAGCCATTGCATGCCTTCCTTGGGAATTCATAGTGTTTTCTTCTTTTCTGCAATTTGCGGAGTTTCACTGTTTCTTGCCCTTTCCTCACTTGAAATGTGTTGTCACTACTTTACATATGCAATGTGTCAGGTCTTCACCTCTTTGGTAAAAACTGTGCTTTTGATATTGTTTAAAGATGTACAAAGAATATGGTATTTCATTTGCAAAAGCTCAGACATGAATTATTGAGTCTAAATTTATTTGCATATACTGAAATATTCTTTATTTACGAAGCTCGTATTTGATATGCATTAAGGCTCGTGATTGTGATTGGATTTGCAGGCAGCATGTCTAAGAATGGCAGAGGAATACCTCCACGCATTCTGCAATATAGCCGAAGAGGTTAAGCCCGGACCTATTTTAAGATTGTATCATATTATTGGTTTTGATGCTTAATGACCAAAGCGTTTGATTTCTATTTTCCTTATTTGTCTTCTCAGGGCATAACAGTGTCGCTTCCTACAAATACTACAGATCTTGCCAACGCAATGGCTGTAGCTCTCCAGATGTATAAGAACGAGATTGTTGGTGCCGAGTCTGCTGGCAATGCGCTTCATCAGATCTCCCCCCCAGAATATGAAGGAAAGATGAAGAATATTACTACTCCCTCGGATGAAAGTAGGAATGAGAGTAAAGCATCTAATGTAGACCCTGTAGGTGAACCGACGTTTTCCCTCCAGAGCTCCAAGAAGGATAATCAAAGCTCATCAATGCAACTGAGCTCATTCAGTAATGGAAAGGTTTGTTGTGCTTGTCGGTTGTGTTAGCTTTGTAGACTTTTAGATCATACGGCCTTTCTTTTTCTAATTCGGAATCGCTGCCTGGTTCTTTGGTTCGACAGTTCCGTGCTGACAAGCATTAGACAATGGGAAAGAAAGTAGTCTATGCCTCCCAAAACTTCGCTTAAGCTGGTCTAATTCTGGGCTTTTCTTTTTCTTTTTTCTTTTTAAGAGTGAATTCTTATTGCACATGCGCTGTGGAGGTGAATATGATGTCATTTTGGTAACTATTACAAGATTTAGAGGAAGAAGGAATTGAACAATATTCGTTTTGTTTTTTGCCAACTCTTTATGGATTCTCCTTTTTGCCCAGATTAACAGGGAAGACTTGATTAATTGAAGTTTGCTCGTGTGGTTTGATATTGTCTATATAGACTGCTACAGTGTAGTGTGAACTGTGTGATGCTGGTTAGTCCGCCATCATAGATTTTAGGTGTAGCGGAATGGCAACTGTTTTGATGCGAGTCAGCCCGTCATCCCCCACTGTACAGCCGGACTCTAAATAATTTACCATTTTTCGGATTCAAAACGATTTTCTGTTTTGCCAGCACCATTACTTGTCTAGGGAGCAAAGTCCTTACCATTTTTTAGGTGTAGTGTTTCATGTTAAGCACTAGTTAATGTGAGAGCGATTTCATGATGACTTCATTATTTTTGGTTTGGTCTTGTATGATCAAGTAAATGGTATTCATTATACTGCTCAAATTTTCATCATAAATACTGGTGTGAAATGTGACTGTCTTGTGTTGCTAGAAAAACTGTTTTCTTTTTCAAGTGGTAGAAAGCTTCTGATTGTATTATCCTCCAAGTTGAGCGTAAATTTATAAGGTTGTGATGAGAATTGCAATCAGAACTTAATTTATAAGGTTGGGAGCAAAGTCCTCTCCAATTTTTTTTCCCCACAATATTAAAGTCACAAGCTCATTCGAGAAAGTACTTTCATGTTGATTAATGTGAGAGATATTGGTATTTTTAGTTTGGTCTTCTGTATCCCCAACCCGGTGGGGTGTCCTGTCCCGTACCATTTGGGTGAGGTTTTGAAAAATCGATTTTGTAAATGGGGATGGGGGATGAGAGTTGCTTCGGGTTTTTGGGCGTTTTAGGGGTAGGGTTACCCTGTTCCGAATATATTATAAATTTATCAAATTATCTTTATATATTATGATATATTTAAGTGTGTGTATATATATACACACACACATAGTAGGAAAATTCTAACCCTTACAAGTCTTGTGAAAAAAGATAATTGCGAGTAGGGATGGCAAATATTCCCATCCCGGCAGAACCAGCCCCATTTTGGGCTATTATGAGAAACCGATAATGTAAATGGGGACGGGATGAAAACTGCTTTGAAAATCCCAGTGAATTTTGGAGCGATTGTGGGAATGGAAAAATTAAGCGAGGATAGAGGATAGAGAATGAGATCCCGGCCTAATGCGATCTCTATTCTTCTGTGCTAAAGTCAATGGTATTCATTATATTGCTCAAATTTTCACCATAAATACTGGTGTGAAATGTTAATTGGCCAACAACTACACCCCATTGAACCCCTTTTCAATGGGTTCCCCCTAAATTGTCAGGGAAAAAAATAATAATAATAAAATAAATCCTTTTCAATAAATCAAATTCAATTGATTGCCTTATGTTGCTAGAAAAACTGTTTTCTTGTTTTTTAGCGGTAGAAAGCTTCTGATTGTATTATTCTCCAAGTTGAGCGTAAATTTATAAGGTAGTGTAACTTGTGTTGAGAAATGCAATCGAACTTAATTTTTTTATTTTTTAGAGAAATATGTTGTACATCGATATTTGATTGTTTCAGAATTTATTGTTCTACATAATAGAAGTAACCCAGCATTGTTAATCAATATGCTGAAATGAAACAATAACAAGATGACAGTTTCTTTTTAGAAATTATGTAAATTTATTTCTCTTTATTCATAGAGAAACTATATTCAACCATTACAAGATTTTAATATTTGCAAGCTCTAAAACTCTCCCGTTTGTTGAAACATGTAAACTAAATCAGCGGAGAGTTGAGTTAGGCATGTATACCATGTCTATATCCTCGACTGAAAAATAGAAAACAGCTCCAAAATTCATTTTGGTTGATAATTTTCTGGAAAATTGGAGTTGAAAAGGACCTAGTTTTTGATAATGTTCTTCTGTAATTTTCTAAAAAGTATTTTCTGAATAATAAATTAATTGAACCGAACAAGTACCAAACTTTTAACTGCCATCATCCCCTATTCAGGAGAGTAACATTTGGGTGAGCTCTATAAATGCACAACACGAGTCCTAATTTTGTATACTACTGCAATGCACCAACTCCCAGCAACTAATTATCCAATAGGAGAATTTTTCGATGATTATACAGATTCATTCAAGCTACGACGCTTCTCAATCGTGTCACTATGTCGAAGGAACGTAGGAAAACTTTCCGATGATTATACAGATTCATTCAAGATACAAGGCTTCTCAAGCGGAACCACCCAATGGATTCATTATCATCGGCTTGCCTTAATCCCATATAAAAGGGGCCTCTTTCCAAACTTTTCTATTACATACTAAATTATTTCCAAATGCCCAAATAATAGAGACTTTCAATAAACCAACCTAAAAACGATCAGATCCCAGCTGTCTTGGTATCAAACCAAAACAAACCTAACACCAACCAAACAACAAACTCCCCAACACTCCCACCAAATATGTATACACACATACATATCATAATATAAATTACATTGTCAATAAAACTAGCCTCTTCTTACTATTACATTGTCAATAATCATGCAGAAATTGTAACGCTTATACCCATATTTTGCATTCAACATGATACAATGTCACATTAACCCACCAAAAAAGAACAAGAAAATCAGAGCCACCCTCTTCTTTACTGTAAGTGCACGGTCCTGGTTAAGATTATGTTTCAATTTCGCGGTCCTTATCTCTATATCAAAGAGTTCTTTCACTGAGATATAAGGTCGAACATGAAAAATACTATCCGCCTTTAAATACAAATGAAATGGGAGGGAGGTGAGAGAAGATATTAAATACTAAGCATATGATCCTGCGTCAAACTGAATTGAAATATTTTCCTACCATTTCACATTTTTTTCTAACATGATCAAATGATCTGTTTGCTGAACTACTTAAATGGATAAACAACGTGTATAATCCTTCATTATTATTATTATTTCTTCTTCTTCTTTTCCGAGACTGATCACAATCATAATAGATATTTGATAACCAAAAATTAATGAAAGATTCTACAAAATATGCCTATTAACAAATAAGTCAGCTCCCGAGAGCTGTAAATTCAAATCTTTCGCCAGATTAGGATCTGGCAAAAACAACTAAACAAAGCAGTAAGAAAATTTGGGATGTAAAAACCAAAAATTTAAGATATGGCTACCTTGGAAATCAATGAATATTTACTTGTAAGAACTGGATTCTTTGCAAAGGATAGTTGCAAATCCGGAAAAGGGATCGCTTATGCAGCGGAACCAATCATAGCCAATAAGTAGATTTTCTAACATATATAGTGTAGTGGATCAATTTGGTACTTTTAAATCTTGGCCGAATTGGAATTTGAACGAATTAAGAAACTTTCAATCTACGATGCAATTGCCTTGGATGGTAAATCAACATCACAGTTGAATTGGAACAGAAAATCTTGTAATGGCCATAGAACTCGTGAGTTGCATCACTCACTCCGACTTATACTACTATTACTTTAGATACAAAGGTCGGTAGAGATGGCAAATAAAAGCAGCTACAATGGATTTGATTAAGAAAACACACCTCTAGAAAGGACTAACCATCCATTCTACAATTTATACAATTGCAAACACTGGTCCCATATGCAACATATTCAAATATATTTTCGCTAATGCGTCCATTACAAATCAATATCACAGTAAATGCAGATTTAAACAAACATTTTCTTTAACTTTGTGGCTTGTACATCGATGAAGGGAAACAATTCTCTCTGTAATGCTAGTATGAAAGTGTATAATCAACTTCACTCAACTACAAGATTTTCCACATTTATTATCTAAGTTCTTCAGAATTGATACCATAATATAGTTAAAAACAAATTGGAATTGCAAGCAAATTAATGATAAGTACACAAAGAATTTGACTTCATTAATTGAAAAAAAGAATACAACAACAAAAGCAAAAAAATCAAGGGAACAATGGTGTAAATCTCCCTTCTACATACAGAATTATACATACATACATATATATATATATATATATATATAGATAGATAGATAAAGATCAAGAAAAATTAGAACAAGAAACCGCCGAATAATCAAATTGTAACAAATCTAACCTCAAATCAAAGAAGATGAGAGCAGAGAATGTGCATTAGAGAAGGCCAAACAAGACAGATAAGCCAAGCAAGATGAGCCACAACATATGAACCAATAGCAGTGCCTGACCAGAGACATCGCTGGTCCCATTCCCCACGTCACAAAACCCTAGCTTGGCCACGTTGGCAGATCGTGTCAAACTTTGCCACCCCTAGTTTTTTTACGAAGGTATGTCTTCTATGCACCTATACTTAATTTTCCATTTATACATCACCAATTATGAAGAAAAAAAAAAAACAACAACAACAACGACAACAACTCCTTGCATTATTTATATTTTGAGCAATTTTCCCCTTATTGAATAGATTCGTTGAAAAAAACATCACTTGGTGACCTAATTTTTAAAAGCAAAATCCAAAATTGCCCTTTTTATGTGACAAGAATGCCCCTACTAATTTTGTATATATTTGAACACTGAATGGGTTTGTTTGGATGTATTGCAAGACCTGTCCATGGAAAACTTTCTGTGTATCGCCATAGTCTCTCTCTAAAAAAAAAATTCTTGCCGCTGATATTCTCTCTAATTTATTTATTTTCTCTAATTTATTTATTTTGCGGTCGCTGGTATTAGCTCTCTTTCTAATTTGTTTTTTGCTCTCTAAAATTACTTTGTCCCTGCTAATAGTATCTCCTCTCTAAATGATAGATGGACTATATTTTCTTATAAATGAATGACCCTTCCTTAATTATATATTTACATATATAAAAATAATAATAATAATAATAATTAAATGAATGAATTTGCTTAGACACAAATTCTTATCAGATGAACTTAGGATTTTTATCAAAATTAAAATTTTGATCTTATTACTCTTTCGCTGGACGCAAACTCAAGCAACGCATTTAAAAAAAAAATAATTGTTTATTTTATTTTATTTTATTAATGTCGATATTTTTATTATATGATGTTCTTTATAATAAATAAGCGCATGGCTTTTACCATTAACTTTTCAAGTAAAATTTCTAAAAAATCATTAATAAGTGGGATAAAAT